AGGAGATACAAAGCATATGCATTTATATTTCTCGGCAAAAATGATTAAATTTGATTGTAAAATGGCTTCTCAGTCACGACGCCATTTGGGAAGGCCTAATGTATCAACATCACAGATATAGTGATATTTCGCTCGTTTAAATTTAATGCCAGTTTCCAGCACTGCTAATTTGCTTCTTAGAAAAGACGATATCGAGAACAATAGTAAAGTGTTCAACATGCAGCCAGAGTGAAAACCTATTAAACTGTCTCAATAAAGGGAATTCGGCCATGTCGAAGATTGCCATGTAGTTCGGTATCCATTTCTGGAATTTCAATAAGACTTATTCAGCCAACCGGCTTACTTCTCCGCGAAAAATCTTATAAAAATGCTCTTCTAGAGTCAAATTTATCAGTAATATGAGATGTATTCAACTAATGTATCAGCCCAGTCAAAATGTAATTTCAAATAATTGCAGAAAACTAAGAAAGTACAGACTATTTAAGTTAAGGATTCTAATTTTTTGTATTTTTATTTAAAGCTTCGAGTGCAATAATTTTAGAAAGATTAAGCTTATACCATACTTTAGGATAATTCGGTTTAATTTGAATATTGTTTCGTTAAATTGCTGAAGCCATCGTTGAAGTTGCTTAGATTTTACAAAGAAGGCTCAATACAACTTAGATTAATTCTTTGGAGCCCAACACAGAAATAATCTCTGTATAAAATTCATCTATGGCTAAGGATACATTCTCTTTTGTGTAAATTAGACAGTTTATAGACAATGCTTTTATCATTTAACAGTCCACATGAGAGTCAAATACGCTGCATTGCCGTAAAAACCTTGCCTCATAAGATTTGAATAAAAATTAATGTTCCCATTACACGAATCAGTTTAATATTTATCATATTTTTGAGCTCTTATATACATTCCATTTTTAAGCTTTCTGCCAAAATAATTCTTGGGGATTCCTAATCTATCCTTTATTTAATTGGCCCTGAGGCATGCGAGTTCAATAGATCAACTCAGCTATGCAACAAAAATACCAACAATTGTCTAAGAAAACGAGGTTTATGAAGTTTTACTTTGTCTCTGTCAATCTGCTCAACTAATCGCTCTAGGCTTGGCATCCAAGAGGGTGCAAGATGGCAATTCTGGAAGAAGACCCAGATGCCGCGTTCCATTGCAATCTTCATCAGCTCTTCCGCGCGTGGCCCCTGACCCTGACCGAGAGAAATAGCAGACAGTTTTTTGCCTCCAAATCGCATCTCATCTGCAAATTTGTATAGCTCCAAGGCGGGATCTGTACCCTGTGAAGAGATTTAGAGTAGAAATAAAATTTATTTGCAGAAATTTTCAATAAACAACATTTACTTTCATTTTGCTTTATTCTCCATCCTTTAAGGCATGTATAAAATGTAATTCCACAAATATAATCATTTTATAAAATATAACATTTTTGAGTGGTGACAAAAAAGCCAATAAATGCTACCATTAAATGATGGAAACTCTATTTTTGCAAAAGATGTGTAAACGAACTATTTGGTAGATTCCCAGTACCTACATAAAGTGAGAGTAGAAGGACCAAAAATGTTTCATAAAAGATGGAAGTAAGTGCACTTCACGCATTGATGAATTCTTTATTTAGAATATAAGGCTGGTTGAAAGAGTTTCGTAGATTAATCCCGTCGAATACTGAACCAATTTTATCTTGGTGTCGTTGTGGTTTCGTACAAAAGGATTGTTGATCTGAGCCTACTGACCCTTGTAAAAACCTTCTGCAAAGAATGTACCATTGTGTTGGGTTTTTAAAATTTTATTTAAGAGGAATTTTGAGAGAAATTAAACGTATACTGAAGACCTCACAAATGGTATCTAATCAAAGAGTGACCTATTAAAAGCCGATATTACTTTTGTCACGCTTTATCTTGCAATATTCTCCCATGCATGTCTGATCTTAATAAAATGGCTGATGATTTGAGATGTTTTACTTGTTTTATATTTTTCTGCGCGTATCACTATAAGAGAGGATAGTGGAGATCCCGTCGAAAGTATACTTTATTTGAACAATAATATATAGCTGGGTATTGTTGCCTTATATTGAGAAACATTAAGTAATCAGGTGTATAGTCGCCATATTATGAAGGTACAAAACTCATGTAGATGTTTGATTCCAGACTTCTAGCAAAGCTCCAGGAATTGTGGCATTTGTACACTTTAATTATGAATCTCACCTATTCAACAGAGCTATTTAGAATTTAGCCTTAGCTAGATTTACTTCTTAAGGGTTCATAGCATTTTAGTCGCCTAAGGCAAGAAACATCGGAATCATTAAGACAAAAAGTGAAATTTTAGAACAATTATGCCCAATGAAATAATAATTCACAGCCCTTACTGGTGATAAAACAAATATAAGAGGAGTTGTGGGTGAACTCTCTTTGAAGACAACGCTCAGGTTGGCCGTCTGTGGCTCGATGAACCTCTGGCCAAGGTGGTGCGCAACAAAGTCCTGCATCGCGTTGGTCACCTTATCTGAGCGAATGCAGCGCATAAAGAGAATTCGTTGGAAGCTGTCCAACTGAGTTTGCCACGGTGACGGTAAGTTAATGCGATGCGGTTCGGTTGAGTCAAATACAAGCTGAAAATGAAAACAAAACAATGCATAAAAGAAGTAATAAGGCAATATTTGATTAAATAAATGAACATGATAGTAGATCAGATTTTGTTGGTCTCAAATACCATAACCCAATATACTATTTAGGCAAATCACATTTTAAGTTAAATTCTCGATGAGGCACAAGAGGCTTCATAATTTTAGTTTAATTCCCAAAACTAGCTCAAATTCGGATGCAAATGTATTCAACAATTTAAATGATACAATTAGCGTAATTTTCAATGCCTATCTAAGATGAATTAGAAGTATATCATTTTGTCGTCCCTTATTAATCTAACGACATTTAAGAGGAAAACTGATGTGGCTGTAGTTCAAAATAGATGAACCATCATGACAGGTTAAAGTAGTGATATACGTGAATACAGGGACAATAAAAGTAGGGCTTGTCACAATGCTTTTGGAGAAAATTCTCCACCCATTTCTGCTTCTGGCATCCCTATGCAAAATGGGAAAAGCAACATTGTCGATGTGATAGTGCTATATTCTGCCTGCTTTTTGTATCATTTAGCCTAAGTTATAGGGAAAAAGTTCATATTTATTACACAAGGCTCATTAACGTATAAGTGTGGAACAAGTTTCATTAAAGTTTGGTTAAATTAATAGCCTTCCATTTGTTTCTATTTTGCTTACTCTCTTTGATATCCTTGCTTTTAATAAGGTTATTAAAGTAGTTATTCGCATATTTTGTATCTGCTTCCATTGCTAGTTAAATTCTCTGTGGTAAAAGACTAAAAAAATTATAAAATTAATATGGTTTTAAATAGTTTAACACTCTTAAATTCATTTATCTAAAGTTGAATGAACTTAACTGAGTTTTATTATTTTGTCAATTAAGTCCTATTAAATGCATCAACCTCAAGTTTTGTTAACGATAATCACACTTATTGCAGTAACTACAGGCCATAATAACAGCCTAATGAGCAGTTATATTTACATAAGAAGTGGAGTCAACGGTCATTACTCTCTATATAGTATGAATTGCGAAAGAGAATCATTTACTAATGTCTTTTAATTAACTGGTAATAAGAATACTCTTGCAAGATGGTTGTTTCAACAACTGATAGACATTGGGCAAGAACAACTTTAATATAGTTTTTTATAGGAGGTATTTGTATATCAAAGTCGATTTAACTGCGTGAAATACTACACTCTTGGCTGGCTCTGAAAGTTTTAGTGCCTTAGGATCCACGCACCCAGAGTTTGAACCCCGATTAAACTATATAAAAGAACTAGACAGAAAAAAAAAGAAAGTTAGGCTTTAATAAATATGTTTAGTTTATAAGTAGGTTGTCGAGACTACCAGTAGACCATATGTATGTCATGTCTTTACTCTATTCCGTTAAGGCGATGAATAACAGTTAGTTGAATTTTCCCACTAATATGAGTAGAGCTGGCGTTTCAATTAAATTTCACATAGCTTTTCTTCCCAAAATGTATTCTTATCCAGGATAGACTTAACAGCAGTCTTTAATGCATCAGCACCCCGGCGGGACTCGAACCATGGTAGTTTAGCTTATAATCTAGACAGGTTAGTCATTATGCAACACTTATATAAATGCCCTCAGGTCACAGGGAAGATGAACATTACAAAGAGGGCTTGTCATAGCAAATATGACTTTGCTCCATCGACAATTCCACCACAGAATGTGATATGGGAAAATATCTGGCCTTCTTTGAAATTCACATCTGCTCTGCTACCCAAAGGCACTTGTGGCAGCATGGCGTACTGGCTAACTTATCAAGATTATGCACTGCATCATGATGGTTCTAGCCACGTTGGGAGTGCTAAGGAGACCTAGGCGAGGTCAAAGCAGGACTTCAGTCTGTATGAAAATACTTTTTGGGAAGCAAGCTTCAATAGAAGCATTAGGCCTACTCATATCATTGTGGAAAAATTCAATTACCAATCCATCACCTTAACGAAATACGGTGAATACTTAACATATTAGATAAATATGTATAGTAAGAATAAGTCAATTAAAGATTTACCCTTAAGTCAAAAATGGGATTCATCTAGAGTATATACATTCTATTATTATAATATGCAGTTGTATAAACACATTATACTTGATGCCGCCAGGGCTTAAAATGTTCTAGCAATAAAAGTGAAATTAAAAAAAATAGTAGCATGAAATACATTATATATATATATGCATAAAGTAGCTCACCTTAAAGCTGCTTAGATCCTTAACGATTGATTCTGGCATTTCACTAAAAGTAGACAGCGCAGCAAGCGATAAAAGATCACCCCACATTCGGTCTGAAATCCATTCAGGTGAAGGGTTTTTCATCTCTTTGGTCCTAA